CTCCTTGGCGACCCGTGCACGGTCTTCAGGAGGCTCTCCTCACCACTTTCCACCACTCCGTTCGTCAACTGTCACTTTGACAGCTGTTACTTTCTCCCCCACTCCTCGTCTGTCCACCAACCAAGTTCCACCTTTGTACCACCAGCCGTTCTCCTCCTGTCGCGATTTTAACACTTCTACAACGCTTCTTTTCCACCTAGTCCTCACCGCCACTCACCACTACCGACTCACTACGCTCTGAACGATTTTTATAGGATTTTTCCTAACCACACTTTCAAGACCTAACGAAACGCGTGTTTACTCTACGATTGCTAGCCATAGACTCAGTGGGTAGGGACACGATCAATTTAAGGGCTGAAGCCCGCCCCCCCACCTTTCGGTATTGGGCCGTTTCCCATTCCTCTCCACTATCTACCGAAACCCCTGTCAAGACAACCCATCCCATCTCCACGTCTCTTAAAAATCAGCGGGAAAGAACCTTTAATCATAACAAAACCCAACAATGGTAACAGCTTAACCTATTTACAACAACATTCTTAACCTAGATACTTAAAAACTAACACCTTATTTCGGCAATTGCCTCACATCAAGGGGGGCGAGAATGCCAGGCAACCCAGGCCGTCCGTGGCATCTCGACCCCCATACCTAACCTAATCCTTAACCTAACACCTTAATCTAAAGCGTCCACACCGCACAACTCCAGGTCGTCTATATCTTTCTTTTCCTTTTTCCTTATCTTGTCTTTCTTTCCACTCATTCTTACTCCTTTCTCACCATCGCCTCCGCCCAGTCCAACACCCTTTGCCAATTCCTCTTTTCAATTTCCCCCAATCTAGGGGGATAATGACCCACTTCCCTTTCTAAGTCTTCCCTAGCTCTAATCCTTCCCGGTAGGAGACAACGCAAGACCACGTGCTCCACCGTCTCTGCCTCAGCTCCACACTCACACCTCTCCCCCTCGTCTCCGCCAAGTCTGAACCTCCTCAGGTAGGCTCGAAAGTCTCCATGACCCGTAGCCACCTGGGTCAGCTCAAAGCTGGCATCGACTCCTTCTTTGTTTACATTATTCCACAGTCCAAAAAGCCATCTCCCCGTCGTTCCCCCTTCCCACTGCCTCTGCCACTCGCTCATTTCCCATTCTCTCCTCCATCTCCTAGCCACACTCTTTGACACCCCCTCTACAATCTGCTCCTCCATGTCCCGTCTTTGTAGCGTCTTACAATGTCTGTCCACCCGTCTTATTCCGTCCGTTGTCCTTGCCCTCCATTCTACTATAATTTTGATGCCCCTTTCCAAATTCCGCGCTATTTCTTTCTGTACTTCCCCTATCACCCACCATCTATTCTCATACTTCGTAATTTGCCTAATCATTTGTTCCGAATCNCCACAATCCAAAAAGCCATCTCCCCGTCGTTCCCCCTTCCCACTGCCTCTGCCACTCGCTCATTTCCCATTCTCTCCTCCATCTCCTAGCCACACTCTTTGACACCCCCTCTACAATCTGCTCCTCCATGTCCCGTCTTTGTAGCGTCTTACAATGTCTGTCCACCAGTCTTATTCCGTCAGTTGTCCTTGCCCGCCATTCTACTATAATTTTGATGCCCCTTTCCAAATTCCGCGCTATTTCTTTCTGTACTTCCCCTATCACCCACCATCTATTCTCATACTTCGTAATTTGCCTAATCATTTGTTCCGAATCCGAAAAAACCCTAACCACTTTTCTCCTCCCTCTCCTCCGAACCCCTTCTAATATCCCCTGCCAAATTGCCCACCCTTCCAACTCCATATGTCCCATTTCCGTAGCTAATTTCGCCCCTCCTACCTCTATCCCGTCATTCGCCGCCACCGCCCACGCGCAAACCTTGTTTCCTTCTTTAGCCGATGCATCCACCCACACTCTTACACTCTCCTCTTGTCCCTCCTGAGCTCCTCTTATCGCCGGGTGAGGCCTTTCCCCGACATTCATCCTCAATATCCTATCATTCCATCTCCTTCTCGTCTCAAACATTCCCCTTGCCTGAACCTCCAAAGGCACACAGCCCGCCAACACCGACAGAGCCGCTGTTGGCGCGGTTCTGTATGCCTTCGTGATGGCTCTCAGGAAGGGTCGCTCTATAGCCCTCAACTGCTTCTGAATTCTGGTGTCTTGCGCCCTTTCCCCCCATATCTCTGCCTCGTACAAGACCATCGGGGAAACTACCCGCTCGAAAATCGCCTTCAGGACCCGCCTGCCGCTACCCCACTACCCCACTTCCTTCTCCCGAGGGCAAGGAACTTACCCCCGAGATCCTGGACTCGCGCTCGCTTCTTCTTGACATGCTCCAGCCAAGCCATCTTCCTATCCACATGCACTCCTAAATATTTCACACTCGTTCCAATTTCGACCCTAAATCCCTCCATTCTCACCACGGGCTGCCTAATCTCCCCCCTAGCTGGAACAAACATAGCCTCAGTTTTGGCTACGCTGTATTCCAACCGGTTCACCCTGGCCCATTCCTTACATTCCTGCCAAACCTTCTCCCATTCGGCCTCCAGAGCCCTCACCGAACGACCCGATACCACCAATACCTGGTCGTCGGCGTAGGCCTGGACGTGAATCCCCCTTCCCCTAGCTCCTTCCATGCTACAAAACCATCCTTCCATGACAAGGAGCCATAGAATCGGACCCAGGCTGGATCCTTGCGGACAGCCCACTTCCGAATCCCACTCCCTGCCTTCCACGCACACTTTTCTGCCCTTCATAAACTCTTTTACCATTCTTACCAGTTCCTCAGCCACACCTTTGTTCCTTAAATTCCTTATCACGGATGGAGCCCAAGCCGACCCGAACGCGTTCCTGAGGTCCAAAGCAACGACAAGCGAATGTAATCCCTCCCGACGATTCTCAGCGAGTACCTTTACCAGCTCCCCGATGGCCATGACGCAATCCTTCTCCTTCCTAAAGCCGTACTGCATCCCGTCGAAATGCTGACCAGCCTACATGTGGTATGAGATCCTCGCCGCTACCAGCCTGTCGAGAACCTTCCCGACCTCCGGCAGTAGCGATATGGGCCTCATACCACCATCGTTCTTCGGGATCCAGACGACTTCTGCCCTCTTCCACACTCGAGGAAAGACTCCCTCCCTGAGACAATCGTCCAACATGTCCCTCCACGTGCCTCCCAGCGCCTCGAATACATGCCCCATGCACTCATTCGGGACGCCATCTTGACCGGGCGCCTTGTCTTTACTCATTCCTCCAATCACGCCCTCCACCTCCGTGAGGGTGACGGCAAAGTCGTCCTCCTTCCCATCCACCCGATCCTCCTCGTATTCCCTCCTCATCTCCCCGTGTTCCTCCTCATCATCCTCTAGCCTGTCATCGGGAAAATATTTCCTTACCAACTCCTTGTATGTCTCCTCTATTGTGCCCGTGTAACTCCCGTCTTCCCTCCTCATATTTCCTTTCACTTCTCTTTTCCCCCCCTTAACCCATCTTTTCCAAATGTCCCACACTCTATCCCCCATTTCCTCTAATTCCTCTTTCATAGCCTTCATCTTCACCTCCTTAATTTTGTGCTTATACGCGTTTCTTTTTAACAAATATTCCCTCCGCAGTCTGTCCCTGTCATCGTCATCGTCACTAATAATTTGGAATTCCTTTCTCGCCCTCCTTACTTCTCGTCTTTCGTGTGTCAGTTCGTCCGTCCACCAGTCTTTTTGTCTCCTCCTTCTTTTCTCTCTTTTACACATTTCCCTCCTACACGTCTCATGTACTGCACCCTCCAGAAGAGCACACCTTTCCTCCACTCCCAATCGCTGCTGGGCCGGCCCCCGCCCCTCCCAAATATCCCTTAACAAATTTTCAAAATTACCCCAATTTACTCCCTTCACCTCGTACCTCCATCTCCCTTTTCCTTTTGCGATTTTTCCAAATTCCACCCCGTATGAGATGTAACAATGGTCGCTCAAACTTTCCTCCTCTCTGTCGACAAATCTGTCCTTTACCTTCACCCCTTTAGTCAATACCAGATCCACCCAACTTCTCCCCCTGTTGGAAGAGAAGCTGGGAGGGTCATCCTGGGAATTCTCAATGTTCCATCCATGCATCATCGTCCATTCTAGAATTTCTTCTCCTCTTTCATCCGTCTCCGTTCCACCCCATGCCACATTCTTACCATTGAAATCCCCGGCCATCAGAATCCTCTCGCGTCTACTTTCGAGCCACCCCGACAAATCTCGGAATCTCGACTGAGCATTCCGAGCGTCAGGGGGCTCGTCATAGACGTTCACTAACAGCATGTCCCCATCTCTTCCTACCCCCTCTAGAACAACCACCATCACATTCTCATAACTAATTTCCCTCCTCATCCACGCCCTTCCCACTCCCTGTCTTATCAGAGTGATAACTTTTGCCCGATCCCCAATTCTAAACGTATCATATCCGAAAAACCCTGTAAAATTTTGATACGGTTCCTGAATCATTATCACATCTGGTATTTCACTTTTAATTTTGTCCTGCAACAACATGGTTGCGGCTTTCCCCTTTCCTAAATTTATTTGTAAAATTTTAACATCCATAACCTATTTTTGATCGCGATTTTGCCAAATGTACCTTCATGGCCGGGCAGTCACTGTCCCTCGCGCTATGCTCCCGATTCTTGCCGAACATTTTATAACAATTGATGCATTTTTTATTATTTTGCCCACAATTTTGTCCATCATGTCCTCCCCCGCACCTGTGACACACCTCGGCCGCCCTACAATGTTTTGCTATATGGCCAAACCTGCAGCAGCGATAACACATCGCCAACCCCAGGTACTCCTCCACATAGTGCAGCACACTGTCTATATCTACTTTTCCCCTTTTAACTATAATTTGGAGTTCTCTATACTCGTTTTCAAAACTATGTTCTCTTTCCAATTGTTCCTGCAAGCCACTCTTTTTAATACTTTTAAGTCCCCCCTTTCCACATTCACACTACCCTCAAATCCTCTTAGTAATTTTTCTGTTAGTTCCTGGTCGGTCAGTCCCTTCTCCACTCCCGATACCATCAGCAACGGCTCCGATCGTCTGCTCTCTCTTACCTCTACCTGCTGCATCTTTTCCAGTGTTTCTTTAATTTTGCCCTTTTGCTCTAAATACCTTGGTATAATAACTACTTTCCCATCTCTTATCTTTCTTACCCCCTGCGGAGCCCCCCCAATATCCTTTACGGATACCTGCTTGGCAAGGGCCTCCGCAAGCTTCCTAGCATCACTCTCCTCCTTGCTTGAGACGATCAGAGCCGTCTCCGTGGCCTTCTTTTGGGGCGGCGTTTTCCACCCTTCCTCTCCTACTACTACTACTCTTCCCTCAATCCTTTCTCTTGTCGTTCCCTTACTAGCCTCCGCATAAGTCTTACGTCGCCTCCTCACCGGTCTTTCTTTCCATTCTTCCGTGTCGCTATCCTCCGTCATTACCCCCCTTGACTTTTCCTTCCTTCTCACATTCACTCTCTTTTCACTCATCCGCCCTACATCTTGAATTTCCTTTCCTTCATTTTTTGTGTGCAATTTCTTTTCCAATTTAACTTGATTCCGCAAAATATTTATGATCTGGTTCTGAATTTTATAAACCGCATCCCTGACTGTAATTTGGTCCCCCCTCGTGAACGTAATTTTGCCCCCGTTTTCTTTTCCCGTCGCTTCCATAATTCTCTCCAACTCCTTCTGTACTGCCTCCGTTCCATCTTCCTCTTGTTCGCATATTCTTATTTTCTTTTCTTCGCGCTCCTGCCGTTTTTGTTCCTCCATCTTTCTTTCCATTTCCCTCTGCCTCTCACTGTGCCTCCTAGTTGTTTCCTCCTCGATTCTCTTCTTTATTCCAGCTTCCACTCTTACTCTTTCATCTTCTGCACTCTTTCTCGGTATTTCCTCTTCTTCTCCCATCTTCATGCTCTTACGCCTGATCCTTGCCGGTTCCTCGGAGGATTCGTCCCGATCTTCTTCTCTTTCCTTTCTTTCTTTTCCTCCTCTCTTCCCCAATTTCACCGTCAAATCTCTCGTACCCCTTCCCGCTTCATCCGTAGACATCATTTCCGTCGATTTGTAATTCTCGCCGCTACTTGAATTTCCACTACTACTCCCCATGATTTTCCGCGACAATGTCAATTTTGACATCTGTCAATATGACAGATGATAAAAAATAAACTCCCTAAACACACTCCCCAAATTTCAGTCCAATTGCCCTATGAATACCCAAGTTATCCCCAAAATTTCGATATTTTTGACAGCTGTCAAAAACTCACCCCCTCAAAATTTTCTCCCCTTTCCCAATTACTACCTCCCGCTCATACTTCTCAAAAATTTCCGACCGTTTCCAAAAAATCTCCAAATTTCAACAATCTTTGACAGCTGCCAAAAATTGGTATGCCTAAAATGTCGAGAACTGTCCAATTTCTAACTCCCCAATGCCTAAATTTGCAAATTTCGCCGTATACCCCCTAAATGTCAGTGTGACAGCTGTCACCTAGACAGTTCTCTGTTTGTTGTCTCTTATCCCCTCTTGGCCGCACCGAAATGTTAAAATTGTTAAATTTACCTTTTTTCCAAATATTTCTAATTTTGCCCCCTTTTTTCTCCGCCACTGGCTCCTTACCTCCGCAGACCCTCTCTTCACCTTCTCCTCACCAGGACGAATCCTCAGACACCCCCCTCGACCTCCTCTGTGGGGCCCTCAGCGCTCCGGTACTCTCGTACTCCTCCCCAATAGGGCTGTGCCCCTTTTCTCACTTTGTACGATAATATATTCATAAACACAACCTCACTTTACACAGCGCGACTTAAACGTGTTTTCTATTCAACCTTTGATCATAGAATAGTGGGTAGGGACACGATTGGATGGGCCGAGACCCGACCTGCCCACCTTGCGGTATGAGGCCATAGTGGGTAGGGACATGACAGTTTGTGGGCCCTTCGCCCAGCCTTCCTACCTTTCGGCCTGCAGGCTCCTCTTTTCCCTTCTCAAACCTCCCATCTAACGAAACCACTCTCAAGGGAACCCACCACCTTCCGCACTCCTAAAATTAGCGGGGCTTTCCCTTTTTTATTTATTCAACATTATTATCTACATTTACTACTCTAATTTCCTTAACTAACTTATCTATTTGATCTCTTATAACTACTATTTACATCTCTGTTCTTATCTATTTACATCCTCTCATCTCCTCTGTCCACTTCCGGCACCACTTCCTCCCATCTATTCAACGCCTCTATATAATCTGCCGTCCTCTGCAGTTCCAGAGGCGGACACTCTCCATGCTCTTCTCTAAATCTTTCTCTCTCCCTCACGCAAACTTCCCTTTCACACTCTCTTACTATATGTTCTGCACTCTCATCCCCTCTTCCACACTCACACTCCACCCCTCCCTGTCTTCTTCCGAACCTCCTCAGGCTGACCGCGAAGTTCCCGTGTCCAGTTAACATCTGAGTCAACCTATGACCCGTTCGGATCCCCTCCCGGTCAACCCGAGGAAGCCACTCATGCGTCCATCTTCCCGTCACCCCTCTATCCCACTCTTCCTGCCACCTTCTCATCTCCTCCCTCATTATCCACTCTCTCTTGTCCTTCTTCCTCACTATGTTCCTTTCCTCTCTATCGTGCACCATTCTAATATCCCTTCTCACTCTCTCCTCCACCTTCCTATTTCCTCTACTTTTCCTTCTCTGCCACTCTACTACCGTCCTCACTCCCATTCCCAAACTTTCTACCAACTCTTTCTGTATCTCGTTCACCCCTTTCCTTCGAGGCAAAAAACTTTCGATCATTCTCACTGTCTCCTTCGAGTCCGTGTATACTCTCACTTCTTCATTCTCTCCCGCCATTTCTCTTCCCCATCTCACTTCTTCCTTCACCGCCAATTCCTACAATTCACTCACACCCACATTCCCACTCACCACTCTCACCCTATCCAGCCATTCTCCCCCTCTCAATGTTACGCAACCATACCCCTTCCTTTCCTCATCTCTCATCACTCCGTCTACCCATATCCTCAAAATTCTCCCTTCACCGACCTGTCCGCCCCCTTCCATCCGCCATCCTCTGAAGGCCGGATGTGGTCTGTCTCCCAATATCACTCTCTCTGCTTCCATTCGTTCTCTCCACACCCTCTCGCTCTCATACCTCGTCCCCGCCCTAATTTCCAACGGTACACACCCCGTCAGCACGCACAACGCCGCCGTGGGCGCAGTAGCATACGCCGAGGTGATGGCTCTCAGAAATGGCCTTTCTGTTGCCCTCAACTGCTTCTTTATTCTACTATCATTCGCTTTCACTCCCCATACACTTACTCCGTATAACACCATCGCACACACTGCCTTCTCATACAACGTTCTCATCACATTCCATTTCTTCCCCCACTTCCTCCTTGCCAATCCTATAAACTTACCTCCCATTCCACTTGCCTTCCTTCTCACCTCTTTCACGTGATCTATCCACAGTCTCCTTCTATCTATCACAATTCCCAAATATTTTACTTTCTCTTTATTCTCTAACCTCAGTTCCCTCATTCTTACCACCGGTTCTCTCACATTTTCCCTCGCTCCGACAAACATCACCTCCGTTTTCTCCTTATTATACTTTAACTTATTCTCCTCCGCCCATTCTTCACATTCTCTCCATACGTTCTCCCATTCCCTTTCCACTCTTCTCACAGACGTACCCGACACCACAATTATCTGGTCGTCGGCGTACGCCTGTGCCGTCACTCCCCTTTCTCTCACTCTCCTCATACTGCCAAACCAATCCTCCATTACCATCAGCCACAGTATCGGGCCAAGGCTCGACCCCTGTGGACATCCCTTCTCCATCACCCACTCACTCCCCTCTACTTCTATCTCTCTCTCTTCCAAAAAACTTCTCACCATTCTCATCATGCTCACCTCACATCCACTCCTTCTCATACTCTCCACCACTGCCGGCCCCCACGCCGTTCCGAAGGCGTTCGCAAGGTCCAGAGCCACGACGAGAGAGTGCAATCCCCTCTCTATTCCGCTCCAGATCCCCCACGATCGCCTCCACCGCCGCAGTGGTGTCTCTACCGCTCCTGAATCCATACTGCCTTTCTGCAAACATACTCTCACTCTCCATATAGTGGGCCAATCTCCCCGCCAATATCCTGTCCAGCACCTTCCCAAGTGCTGGTAGCAGCAAGATCGGCCTCACTCCTCCACTCCCTTTCGGTACCCACACCACATTTGCTCTCTTCCACACCGTCGGAAATATCCCTCTCTCCACACATTCATGCAGCAATTCACACCACCATTCCCCAACCTCTTCCTCTATCCATTCCATGCACTCGTTTGGCACTCCGTCCTCGCTCGTGGCTTTCTTCTTTTTCATCGTTCTCACAACTCCCCTCAACTCACCTCTCGTTATTCTTATCATTCTTCCTTCCTCATCCACTCTCACATCTTTCAAATCTCCGCACCTTTGCCTTATTGCAGCCTGGTGTTCCGTGTCCTCCCCCGCCACATCCGGCGGGAAGTACTTTCTCACCGGGCATGCAGCTGTCTCCTCTTTGTTCCTCGTATGTTCTCCGTCTTCCTTCACCACATTGTATCTTTCCAAACAAACTCTCCCCCCTTTCACCCATCTATGCAACACTTTCCACGGATCATGAGAGAGCTCTTCCAATTCCTCCTCCATGTTTTTACTCTTCGCTTCCTTAATTTCATTTTTATATTCTCTCCTCTTTTGCCTGTACCTCTCCTTCCTTTCCTTTCTCTTATGATCCCTTCCTTCCTGATACTCCCTTCTCCTCCTCGCAGTCTCTCTTTTCAAACTTTCCAATCGTTCATTCCACCATTCCCCTTCCATCTCTACCCTTCTCTTCACTCTCAAAACTCTCTTACACACCTTCTGACATACCTTCTGAAACCGCACCGCCTTCTCCACATCCTCTCCATCAACTCTCTCCCCTTCAGTCCAACTCTCTCTCAGCTTTGTCTTAAATTTTTCCCTGTCCCCCTCTGCCACCACATACCTCTTCTTTCTTTCTCTCTTTATCTTCGCGATTTTTACGACATAACTCACATATCTATGATCACTTAAAGTCTCATCTTGTTCCACTTCCCTTTCTAGCACCCTTATTTCCTTTGCCATCACCAAGTCGAGCCATCCCTGCGCCCTCACCGTCCAGAAACTGGGCGGGTCCTCCGGTTCATTTTCCACCACAAACCCATTCATTATTGCCCATTCTTCTACATACATACCTCTTTCACTCGTTACTTCCCCTCCCCATATCACATTTTTCGCATTCATATCTCCCCCTATCACTACTCTTCCTCTCACACTCAACCATTGATCCGCATATCTTTCAAACTTACTCTCTCTCTCCCCCCCTCTCTCCGGTTCATCATATATATTGATGAATGTTACACCTTCTTCCCCTTCCAAATTCACAACAACCACATTCTCATTACACATCTCTCTATACGCCAGCACTCTCTCCCATTTCACACTCACCAAGGTCACCACTTTATTCTCTCCCTCTCCATGCTTCCTATATCCCTGCGGAGCCGCATACCTATGATACGGCTCCTGTATCATTACCACCTTTTCGCTCCTTATCTTTTCGTTCATTAAAATTCCCGCTTCTTTACCCCTTCCCATGTTGAACTGTAATACCTTAACCCTTAACATCGTAACTAGTATGCTTCCTCATTATGTCCAAGTTCACTCTGTAAGCCGGACAGGTCGGATCCCTCGCACTATGTTCTTCACTTCTTCTAAACATCCTCTTACAATTTACACATTCTCTTCTTTCATTCCTACATTCCCTCCTCTCGTGTTCTCCCCCGCATTCAAAACAAGTTAATCTTTCCTTGCACACCCGCGTCATGTGCCCAAACTGGCAACATTTGAAGCACATGGCCGTGCCCACATATTCTTCAACAAAAAGCATTTCACCCATCACACTTATCCTTTCTCTTCTCACCAGTGCCTTGAACCCTCTCGCCGGAAGTTGGATAATCCAATTCCTCCTCCACGGGTTCCGGCACTGGTACTTTCTCACCACTCTCACACTATTTCTTACTATTCTTACATCTTCATTTTCCCCCACTGCCTCTAACAATTCCTCCTCTTCCACGCTTATTGGGACCCCAGATATCATTATCATTGGGTCCCTCAATTTCGTCTCTTTCACATCCATCCCACTCATTCTTCTCATTTGTTCCTTCAATCTCTCCTTTTGCCCTTCATCTTTTGCTACTATACATACTTTCCCTTCTCTCATGATTCTCACCGCCTTTGGAGCTCCTCCATTCTGTTTCATATCCACACTTTTTGCCAACTGTTCAGCTAACTTTCTCCCATCCGTCACATTCGCCCTAGAAACAACCATCTCCAGACTCTTTGGAGGGGTGGTCCATCCTTCTCCTCCCCCAAACGTCATGCCATTCTGCCCTCCACCTCTTACACTTCCCATTCTTCCTCTCATTCCTCTTCCTCTCCCTCTCATACCCCTTCTTGCTACCTGTGCAAACGTTGCCTCACCATCTTCACTCTCACTATCTGTCTCTCTTACTTCCTCATTCCTATTCACATTCCTCTCATTTATACTTTCACTCTCCCTTTCTCTCTCCTGTCTCACCTCTGGTTCCGCTTCTCTTTGCACCACCACGTTTCTGTCTCTTACTCCTCCCGCCAGTCCTTCACTTCTCCGTTCCATCTGTTTTACGCTCCTCACTGCTCCTTCGCCTACCGGCTCTGGTTGTCTCTCTCTTCTCGTCGCTCCTTCACCCACTAATTCTAATTGTCTCCTCCGGGTTTCTCTTCTTTCCGTTTCCGCTTCCATTTCTAACTTCCTACACTTTTCTTCCCATCTCTTCACCTCCTCCATATTTCGATCTGCTTCACCAGAAATCCCATACACGCTCCTTCTATACCAACCAACGCCATCTTAACCGTTGCTTGATCTCCCCTGTTGAATTGTAATTTATTACCGGACTCTTTATTGATAGCTCCCATAGCCACTTCTACATATCTTCTTACTTCCTCCATGTTCTCTCTTATCGTGTTCGCACCTTTTTCTCTAGCTACTCTCTCCTCTCGTTCTTCTGCTACTTCTTCTACCTCTTCTTCTTCTCTACTTTCTTTGTCTTTCTTCTCTTTCTGTTCTCGTCTTCTCTCTTCCCTTGCCCTTTTCTTCATTGCCTCTTCTCTCAATTCTTCCTCTTCTTTCAGCTTTTTCTTTTTTCTTTTCTTCTTCATTATTCTTTTTAATCCAATCTTCCTTCATCCTTCTTTCTTTCTCTCCTTCTTCTTTCTCGATTGATGAATCTTTCCCACTTGCTGAATCTTTTTCCTCTTCTTGATCTTCAAACTCTTTAGATTGTGTACTCTCTTTCCAAAATTTCCCAGCAATCAATTCCTCTATCTCTTCCTGCTCTTCTCTTTCTACACCACCTCTCTTACTCTTTCTACCATTCATCTTTTTTACTTTTCCACCTTACACTTTGTTCTTTATTATAGTCTGCCTTTTGCACTTTGTTTCTTTCGTCTTTTCCTATTCGCTATTCGAAACCTTGTCGAAAATTTTAACATAAAAAAGCCGCTGTCGGCCCTGGGACCCAAACGGCTATCTCGTTTTATTTTGCACTTTAGTTCTCGCTTATTGTCTATCTCTTTCTATCCCCTCTATCGTCACGTTTCCACTACTTTCACCTTCCACTTCCACTACTTGCCCACTTCCACCACCTCTCAACTTAACCACGCCCACTCTCCAATCACCTTCGCCTTTACTCTCACTTTTACACGCACTTTATAGACACGTCTACATTCACAGCTCTTGCAAGCACGTCTGTCCTCTTCAACGTCCAGACTGCGACTCTGGGTAGGGACACGATTGGATGGGCCGAGACCCGACCTGCCCACTTTGCGGTATGAGGCCATCTCACGTCCGACGTTACCCACCATCAGGCGAAAACACCGACAAGGAGAACGCCATCCCAATTCCACTTCACCAAAAATCAGCGGGGTACCCAACTTAACCTAATACAATTTTTTAATTTACACAATTCCTTATTCTACAACCTAACCTAATCCTTATAGCTAAACAATCTAAGATCGTCTTTTTTGATATTCACTGAAATTTTGATTAATCCCCAACTAAATCATTTGCCCAATCCAAAACGATTCCCCAATTTTGCCCCGTTATCTCCCCCAGCCTAGGAGGGTAATGGCCGAGTTCCCTCTCTATAGACTCCCTCGTCTGTCTCCTCCTCTGCAGCCCGCAGCGGAGGACCACATGCCTCACGTCCTCTCTTCCTTCGCCGCATTCGCATCCTTCATCCACTCCCGGTTCTAGGCGAAACCGACCCAGGTAGCCCGGAAATTTCCATGTCCGGTAGCCACCTGAGTCAGCGCCGCACTAGCCTCGCATCCGCTCCTATTCACGTTCTCCCACAACTCATGCAACCACCTACCCGTATTACCCCCATTCCAGACATCCTGCCACGCTCTCATCTCTCTTTCGCTCTTCCACTTATTCAAAAATCCCTTGCTCACACCTTCCACTCTTTCCTCCCCTCCGTCCTGCTCCCTCCCTATCCGTCTGCACTCCCTGTCCACCGTCCTTATTCCGTCCGTCCGTCTGCTTCTCCACCCCACTGTAATTTTGATTCCGTCCGTCCGTCCGTTCGCGATATGTCTTTGAATTTCGTTGATTACCCACCACCTATTTCCAAATTTAGTCGTCTGTTCGCAAGTCTGTCTGGAATCCGTGAAAACCCTCACACACCTGCTTTCCCCTATCCTGCGCAGCCCCTGTTCGATACCCCGCAAAACCGCCCATCCTTCCAACTCGTTACTAGTAATTTCGAACCCCCTTTTTCCAAACGCCCTTCGACCGCCACCATCCACGCATACA